GATAGCATTTTTCATCTTAAGTCCTTCAGAGTTGTGTTGGATCTTTATTCTGCTGAGAATAGCTAAGTCATTCATAGCTGATCATCTTACAATATTGCTGTTACTTTGTACACAGTACATTTCACTTTGCATCAGCTGTTGTAAGTCTTTCCAGGTTTTTCTGAATGCATCCTGCTCATCATTTCTTATAGGACAATAGTATTACTTCACAGACACATAGCACAATTTGTTCAGCCATTCTCCTGTTGATGGACATCATCCCAATTTCCATCTCCTTACCACCGGAAAGGAGCTGCTATAAATATTTTTGTAGGTATAAGTCGTCCCCCCCCCCCGCATTTTTAAAATCTCTTTTTGAATACAGAACTTAGTAGTGGCACTGCTAGGTCAAAGGGTGTGCATGGTTTTATAGCCCTTTGGGCATAGTTCCAAATTGCTCTAAAAAATGGTTGAATCAGTTCACAACTCCACCAACAGTGTGTTAATGTCTCATTTTCCCCACATCCCCTCTGACATTTGTCATTTTCTTTTTCTGTCCTCTTAAGTCAATCTAAATAGATATGAGGTATAATACCTCAGAATTGTTTCAATTTGCATTCTTCCAATCAATAGTGATTTAGAGCACCTTCTCATATGGCTGTAGATCACTTTGATTACTTCATCTAAAAACTATTCCTATCCATTGATCATATCTCTTGATCATTTATCAATTGGGGAATGGCTCCTATTATTATAAATTTGACTTAATTCTCTATATATTTGAGAAATGAGGCCTTTATCAGAGAAACTTCAGAATTTTTTCCACAGTTGTGATTGCTAAATGTATGTCCCTCCATCCTATCTCTCTCCACCCTGCCTTTATTCTATTCTCTTTTTCCTTTCACCCTGTTGCTTCTCAAACATGTTTTGCTTCTGTCACTTTCCCCAATCTGCCCTCCCTTCTATCACCACCCCAATCACCTTCCCCTCCTAGGGTAAGATAGATTTCTATACTCAATTGAGTGTGTGGTATTCCCTCTTTGAGCCAAAATTTTTTTTTTTTTGGCAAGGCAATTGGGGTTAAGTGACTTGCCCAGAGTCACACAGCTAGTAAGTGTTATGTGTCTGAGGCTGAATTTGAACTTAGGTCCTCCTGACTCCAAGGCTGGTGCTCTATCCACTGCACCATCTAGCTGCCCCTCTTTGAGCTAATTCTGATGAGAATAAGATTCACTCATTCTCCCTCCCACCTCCTCATATTCCCCTCCACTGTAAAAGCTTTTTCTTGCCTCTTTTATGTGAGATAATTTACCCCATTCTACCCCTCCCTTTCCCTTTCTTCCACTGCATTCCTCTTTCTCACCTCTCAATTTTATTTTTTTAGATATCCTTTCATATTCAGTTCACACCAATGCCCTCTGTCTATGTATTCTCCTAACTGCCCTAATAATGAGAAAGTTTTTATGAGTTACAAGTATCAGCTTTCCATGTAGGAACGTAAACAGTTTAACCTTATTAAGTCCTTTATGATTTGCCTTTCATGTTTACCTTTTTATGCTTCTCTTGAGTCTTGTATTTGAGAGTCAGATTTTCTATTTAGCTCTGGTCTTTTCATCAAGAATGCTTGAAAGTCTTCTGTCTCATTGAATGTCCATTTTACCGCCCCCCCCCCCAAAGGATTATACTCAGTTTTGCTGGGTAGGTGATTCTTGGTTATAATCCTATCTCTTTTGCCCTCTGGAATATCATGTTCCAAGTCCTCCAGTCCTTTAATATAGAAACTACTAAATCTCATGTTTCTGACCGTGGCTCCACAATACTTGAATTGTTTCTTTCTGTATGCTTGCAATATTCTCTCCTTGACTTGGGAGCTCTGGAATTTGGCTATAATATTCCTGGGAGTTTTTGTTTTGGGATCTCTTTCAGGAGGTGAAGGTGGATTCTTTCAATTTCTGTTTTACCCTGTGGTTCTAGAATATTAGAGCAGTTTTCCTTGGTAATTCCTTGAAATATCATGTCTAGGTTCTTTTTTTGATCGTGGCTTACAGGTAGTCCAGTAATTTTTAAATTGTCTGTCCTGGATCTATTTTTCCAGGTCAGTTATTTTTCCAATGAGCTATTTCACAATGTCTTCTTTTTTTTTTTCATTCTTTTGGTTTTGTTTTATTGTTTCTTGATTTCTCATAAAGCCATTAGTTTCCATTTGCTCACTTGTAATTTTTAAGGAATTATTTTCTTCAGTGAGCTTTTGTACCTCCATTTCCATTTGTCCAGTTCTACTTTTTAAGGAGTTTTTTTCTTTCAGTGAATTTTTGTGCCTCTTTTACCATTTGGCCTAGTCTGTTTTTTAAGGTATTTTCTTCAGTATTTTTTTGTGTCTCCTTTAACTAGCAGTTACTTCTTTTTTCATGATTTCCTTGCATCACTCTCATTTCTCTTCTCAGTTTTTCTTCTACCTCTCTTACTTGATTTTCAAAAGCCTTTTTGAGCTCTTCCGTGGACTGAGACTGATTCATATTTTTCTTGGTGGCTTTGGATGTAGGAACTTTGACTTTGTTATTTTCTTCTAAGTGTGTGTTTTGATCTTCCTTGTCACCCTGGTAACTTTCTATAGTCAGAATTTTTTTCTGTTTGCTCATTTTCCCAGTCTATTTCTTGACTTTTAGCTCCATGTTAAAGTGGGGCTCTGCTTCCAGGGTGGAGGGTGTATAGCCCCAAGCTTCAGGAGTTTTATGTTGCTGTTTTCAGGAATACTTTCTAGGGACTTGTAAGTTTTCAGTTTTCCTAGGTGGTATGATTTAAGGAGAGGTGTGTTTACTACTCTCCTGGCCCGTGCTCCGGTCTGTGAACAACCATAAGCACTCTTTTCTGCCTGAGAACTGTGACGAGGGTCCCTGCTCCACTATCACAAGCTCTGGTGTGCTAGTGCTCCTCATCTCCCTGGGACTGACACCCAGGACTGTGACCCAGATCTGAGTATGGGCAAAGCAACAGAGTCCTCCCAGCAAAGAGACCCTTGTAATCTCCTTCTGATCAATTATTGAATCCCCTTACCATCTGTGGGCTGAGAGTTCTGGAAGTAGCTGCTGCTGCTGCTACTGATTCAGTGGCTGCTCCCAAGGTCTTTTCCTCCTGGTTTGCTGGAGCCTGGTAGGGCCTGCCCTGGGTTGTTCTCAGCTCTCACCCAGCTGCAGCAGACCTTTCCTGGCAATTTTCTAAATTGTCTTTAGAAAATTATTTCCCCCCCACCCTTGTTTAGATTCTGCCACTTTTATTTTATGCATCATTTAAAGGTGTTTGGAGGGGTTTGAGGGAGAGCTCAAGCGAGTCACTTTTCTATGCCATCTTGGCTCTGCCTAATCTTGGTGGCTTTTTGACCTGAATTGGTGGTGCACTCATGCCTTTGGAGAGACATTATGGCACAGTGGGTAGAGGACATACAGAAGTTGGAGTCAGGAAGACCAGGGTTTTAATCCTGCATAGATACCTACTTTTGTGAACTTGGGCAAGTCAGGTAACCTTTTTCTGCCTCAGCTTCCTCTTCTGTAAAATGGGAATGACAACTTTAGTACTTAGCTCTTAGGATCATTAAGATCAAAATTAGGTAATATGTTTAAAGTGATTTGCAAACCCTGAGGTGCTGTCCAAATTTAGATTATTATTATTGTTATTTGTTCAGGATATTTCCTGTGACTAGAATGACCTTCCTCTTATTCTTTACTTGAATTTCTACCCATCTCAACTCAAATGTCATTTCTTTGAGGAAGCTTTCCTCTGTTTTCCTAATTGGTAAAGACTTTACCTCTCAGATTACACAATGCAGTTTTTTTTGGTAACTCTGTAGTATGTTTATCATGTAACATTATGTATTAAAGCTATCTCTATTGATGTATTATTAAGTTCCTGCTGCAAATCCCATGAGGTATGGGCTAGGTGTTATCTAAACTGTATATTTCTCCCAGTACCTCACAGTAGGAATCATTTAATGTTTGTGTGTGTTTGTATTATACCTTAACTTTCTCTTTACCTTTATTGCTAAACTTCTAGAAAGAGTGATCCGCACTTGGTGCTTCTACTTCCTCATTAACTGTTCACCCTAATTGCCTGTTTCTGTTGATGACAGGCACCATTGGCTTCTAAGTTATCTGGGTTCAAAGCCTTGGAGTCATCCTTGACTCCTCCCTCGTCTTTTTCCACAAGTTCAGTTACTTGCCAAATTTTGTTGACTCTACTTGCACAGAATCCATCTTGCTCTCTCCTATCCACTTATACTGCCACCATTATAATTCAAGCCATCATCTTCTCTTGCCAAGAACTATTATAATAGTCTCCTAAAAGTTTCCCTGGCTTCATCCTCTCCTGTTTTTGGTCACATGGTTGCCAAAATAATCTTTCTAGTATGTAAGACATGTCATTTTCTTGCTCAAAAACCTTTATTAGTTCTTTATGAATTGAACGTAGGGCAAATTCCAAACTACTTAGCCAAGGGCCTTAACAGTCTAGTTTTAAACTTTCCTTCCCAACTTTATTTTAATCACTTTACATGTCAGCCAAACTGCACTAATTATTCCTGTCTCAGCTTGTATTTTGCATCCTGCATGCCTGTGATCCACATACTCTACTCTTCTTTACTTGTTGAAATCTTTCTCTTATTTTGGGGTCCAGGTCAGCTTCTTCCTTCTGAGTAAAGCCTTCCTGATCAACTCAGCTGAAACTGTTTTCTTCCCCTAAGTTTTCTGTCTTTCTATAGTGTGTCCCCAAAATCTTAGTGCAATTTTAAATGTTAATAGCTTAATGCTTTAAGACTTTGGAGACACTGTATTTTATCAAACTTTTGTGTGTACATGTTATATTTTCCCTATGAAGATGAGGACTCTTGTTATTTTTATATTCTCTGAGCCTTGTGCTATGCTGTGCTTATAATGAACACTTGACTGAAATGAATAAATGTTTGTTTTATTGAATAATGGAAAATGTTTGTACAATTTTTGAAGTTGAAATTGTATGCTGTTTCCTTTTAGGTTGAACAGGTGAAGTTACTTGACCGGTTCAGTACAAGCAACAAGTCATTAACAGGAACACTCTACCTTACAGCAACACATCTATTGTTTATAGATTCTCTTCAGAAAGAAACTTGGGTAAGGATTCTAGTTGTACTGTTTAGCTGCATAATAACAGCCATCACGCCCTAACATTGTTTTGTTCATTGATTATATCTTTGAAAATTTTAATGATTGACATTTTCCTTTAAAAAAAAAACTTCTTTTTATAATAAAAAGTATACTAACAACACATGGACTTCTAGCTTATTTCCTGATAAATATGGGGCTTCTTGCAGCAGAAAATTTTATATCATGAATATGGAAGCAATCTCTTGAAAAACTGTTCTTCTCTATCACATATTTAGAGCTGGAAGGGGTTTTATTGATCATCCAGTCTAGCCCTTTTATTTTACAGATGAGCAAAGAGACCAGCAGAGGTAAAATAGCAGTCCGTTAGATTAAGGTCTCCTTTAGGGAAGGGACTTGCTTTTGCCTCTTTATTGTATCTCCGATGCTTAGCCCAGTGCCTGGAACATAGTAGGTACTTAATAAATGTTTATTGAATTAAATTTATTGATTGAAAATTACTTTTTTTGATTAATTTTATAAAGGTACTTTTTAATAAAGTGGTATTTAAAAGTGAAATGTATGAGAAAAGTACATGCTTAAAAGTACACGTTATAATATTTCATTTATAAAATTTTTCAACAATATGAAAAAAGATCAAATGTTTAAGGTCTTTAAGATGTATTATAAAAATTACTGCTAAACAGTCCCATAAGCTGAATTGACATTAATTCATTTCACCATCTTCTGTAATGTTTTATAAATGAATTTATGATTGATAGCTGAGGTAATTTTTGGTTTAAATGATTTAAACTCCTTTGGAACATCTTGATAATCAGTCTGTGTCTTGACATACCCATTTCTCATTTCTAATAGTGTTTTTTCCCCAATTATATGGAAGACAATTTTTAGTGTTCATTTTTACAAAATTTTGTGTTCTAAATTTTTCTCCCTTTCTCCTTCTCTCCCTTCCCTTCTTCCTAAAACAGTAAGCAATTTGATATAGGTTGTACATGTACAATCATGTAAAACATATTTCCATATTAGTCATGGTTGTGAAAGAAGAAAGAGACCACAAGGAAAAAAAAAACATGAAAAAAATAAAGTGAAAATAGTATGCTTTGATCTGTTTTCAGAGTCCATCAGTTCTTTTTCTAGATGTGAATAACGTATTCCATCATGAGTTCTTTGTAACTGAATGACTTTTTTTTCTGCCAGTAAGTAGCAGATGCAGGAATCTGAACCCACATCTACTGACTTTAAATCTAGTGATCTTAGGGTCTCCTTCGAATCAGAATTTCTGATTCTGTATGTAGTTCCTTTACTATGTTTTTGTCATAAAGCTTATTATCAGTGCAGAAGCTTATCTTCAAGGAGAAGCTGGTGATCACAATGTAAAACATAATTAAGAGCAGGAACATGTTGCTTGAACGACATCAGTGTGAAAGCCAGAGCTGTTGCCATGTGATGTGGCAGGAAGAAAACTGGGCTTGGAGTTATTGCTAGCTAATTTTGGGGGTGGGGTGGGGGAAGGGAGGTGGCTAGGTGGTGCTGTAGATAGTGCACCAGAACTGGAATCAGGAAGACGAGTTTAAATCTGGCCTTAGACAGTTCTGGCTGTGTGACCCTGGCAAGTCACTTAACTTGTGGCTGCCTAATTTTCTTCATCTGTAAAATGGGGATAATAATAGCACCTTCCCAGGCTTGTCGTGAGGATCAAATGCAGCTCTAAATCTGTAATCTTTTGTAATTCTAAGTGAAAGGCTAGATTATTCTTAAAATTAAAAAAAATACAAAAATCTTTTATTTGTATAATCACTACCATTTTGATCATATTACATTGAGGTGAACATTTTCTGTCATTTTATTATAATTTTAGTAGGCATTATGCAAATAAAAGAAAATGAGAATTGATAAATAGAGGGAAACTTAACATTGTAACCGAGGAATCATGGTTCTAATCCCAGCTCTGATACCAGTTTGCTGTCTGACGTTGGACATGTGAAAATCTCCATGAGCTTTAGTTTCTTCGGTGCTGACTGCTTCACAGGGTTATTGTGAGAGCCAAATGAGATAATTTGTGGGAAAGTATTTTATAAAATATAAATGACTGTACAGATGGAAGGTATTATTAGAAAGCAATATCTTATTAATAGCAATTGAGAATAACAGTCGTCATAAAATTACATTTAAGGAGTGAAGTCCCATATATAGATCTATATTAATAAACTTAGTCTTCTGAAATTACTATTAAAAATGAACTGAGTGTGAGTCAGAATATATCTAATGCATATTTTTATCTTTTATCTTTTGTCTATAGGGCTTTTCTCTTGTGTGTTTATATTTAATTTACACTTGTTAACAGCATTCATTTATATAACAGACATTTAAGGACTCACTGTGTGCAGGGCACTGTGCTAGTTCTGGAGGAGTTGCAAAGATTAGATAAAACAAGGCCCCTGTGTCCTCATTTCTAAAATACATAGAGAACTAAGTCAAATTTATAAGAACACAAGTCATTCTCCAGTTGATAAATGGTCAAAGCATATGAATAGGCAGTTTTCAGATGAAGAAATTAAAGCTATCTATAGTCATATGAAAAAATGCTCTAAATCACTATTGATTAGAGAAATGCAAATCAAAACGACTCTGAGGTACCACAGCACACCTATCAGATTGACCAACATGACAAAACAGGAAAATGATAAATGTTGGAAAAGATGTAGGAAAATTGGAACACTGATACATTGCTGGTGGAGTTGTGAACTGATCCAACCATTCTGGAGAGCAATTTGGAGCTATGTCCAAAGGGCTATAAAAATGTGAATACCCTTTGACCCAGCAATAGCACTTCTAGGGCTATATCCCAAAGAGATCACACAAACGGTAAAAGGACCTACATGTACAAAAATATTTATAGCAGCTCTTTTTTGTGGTGGCAAAGAATTGGAAATTGAGGGGATGCCAATCAGTTGTGGAATGGCTGAACAAGTTGTGGTATATGAATGTAATGGAACACTATTGTGCTATAAGAAATGATGAGCATGCAGACTTCGGAAAAACCCGGAAAGACCTGTATGGACTGATGCTGAGTGAAGTGAGCAGAACCAGGAGAACACTGTCCTCAGTAACAGCCACATTGTAAGATGACTAACTTTGGTAGATTTAGCTCTTCACAGCAATGCAAGGATCTAAGACTTCTCCAAAACTCTGATGATAGAAAATGCTATTCACATCCAAAGAAGGAACTATGGAGTTTGAATGCAGATCGAAGCATACTATTTGCTCTTTTTTTTTTTTTTAATTCTGTTTTGTTTGGCTTCTTCTTTCTTGTGGTTCCTTCTATTGGTTCTAATTCTTCTTTACAACATGACTAATGTGAAAATATGTTTAATAGCAATGTATATGTAGAGCTTATATCAGATTGCATGCCATCTTGGGGAGGGAGGGGGAGAACATTTAAAACTCAAAATCTTATAGAAGTGAATGTTGAAAACTAAAAATAAATTAATAAAAATAAAAATAAGTAAATAAAAACAAGGCCCTTGTCCTCATAGAGTTTGCTGTGTAGGAAGGGATAATATGTATCCCTTCTGACAACTGAAACGTTAAGTATATTAGAGAATTACAAAACAAAGTTCTGTGTGAGGACTAACCATCTTCTGATGGTTATTGACTTTTAACAGGCATTTGAGTGATTAAAATATTACTGGGTTTTTTGGTTTGTTTTTTTTTTTGCTTTTGAATTCTAGTATAGCATATGATATTTTTACCCTTTTATTTTAAGATGACATTTTTGACAATATTAATTTATGCATGACTATAAAGATAGATTGCTTAGACCTTTTCACACTGGTAATCTAAATGTTTCTTGTATGCGATAGATACTGCATCATCACATTGCTGCAGTAGAGAAACTTGCTTTGACCACTTCTGGATGTCCCCTTGTGATTCAGTGTAAGAACTTCAGGATAGTGCACTTCATTGTTCCACGAGAAAGAGATTGCCATGATATTTATAACTCTTTGCTACAACTCTCAAGACAAGGTATGATTCTTACTTAGATCCAAGACATCACTGAGTCACTTTTGGAATAGGGTATTTAATATCTCAATATTTATTATTAGTTTGACTTTATGAATAACTTTAAGTGCAGGTTCCTGAGTATTCTGTCTATCTTAGAAAATCATTATAACATAGGGTATAAGTACTAATCTGAATTGTTAGAATAAAGCCCAGAGAGATGGTCTAAATAACTAAGACATAGAGAAATAACACTTTTTGCAGATTGAGGTGAATGCTTGGGGAGAATATGGGGATCTAGTAGAGCAATAACAAATTTTAAATGGGTATTATATGACTAGGGTGAATAGCATCATGTTTGGCGTTAGGCATGAAACTTAAGGCAAGGTAGATTAGTTGGCATGCTTTGTGGACTGCCTGATAGCAAAGGGAATGGGCTGTGCTGGTTGTGTATATATGTGTGGGAGGCGAGAGGAAGAGTGGTTCTTTGAAATGTGATAAACATCGAGGAAAGAAGAATCTTACTATAAGTGATAATATGCTTAACAGAGGAAGACTTCCCATAGTCTCTAGTAAAACAGAACACAGGGAGTGAGCTTTAATCACTGTTTTAGCTTTGGGAATCTAAATGACTTTCTCTTCTAATGGATCTGGGAGTTTCATCATGTTTATATTCCCCAGAGCCAGAACTGAATACTTGATACTCAGGTACTTTTTTTCTTTTTAAACTGATTAGATCTAGGTTTTTAGGATGCGCTGCAAACAGTTTTATATGCCTGTGTTCTTTTCTGATTCTGTTTCCTTCTTTTCCCTCTCCCCTACAAGTAATGGGACCCATGACATTGCCTCACTTATTTCACATTAAGTCTGGTTCTGTTAGCACTGAGTGGTTGCTGACTTGGGTAGGTAGGCTCTTTTGAGCTTCCTGCAGCTTTTGCTGTTCTTAGTTTGTGAGCTCCTGAATCATTACTACGTCTTTCTCCTTTTTTCCCCACTTCCTTTAGAATATATACATTCTTGACCACTTGCTATTCTCAGCTTTTTTTTTTTTGGTTACAGTACTACTGTCCCTGTTGCATGAATACATTTTACCTCATTTGGGAGAGATGGTGGATGGGCAGATAGGTAGCTGCCAGTGTTCTTAGTTGCTTAAAAATTTTTTAATTCCAGAATGTTTAAGTAGAGAAATCGAACTTATGGTATACTACATTAATTATTCCTCTATCTAAAGTTTTTTAGTTTCCTAAATTTTATCCTGGATTGTTAGATGATATTTTAAAATGATTTATATGTTGCCATATATATCTTTAGTCAACTATATGAATATAGTTGAATCAAAAAAACTTAAGAATAAGATTGTGTTTAAATGTTTTCAGGCAATGGACATCTCTTTGGAGATTTTTTTATTATGGGAACCCCTTCAAAACCATCTTGCTCATTTTAAAATTTAATCATTTTTCTGAAGATTGTTCTAGTAAACATTTACATATTATTTTTTAAATAGCAAAATATGAAGACCTCTATGCATTTTCTTATAATCCCAAACAAAATGAGTCTGAACGTGTGCAGGGTTGGCAACTTGTTGACTTGGCTAAGGAATATAGAAGAATGGGAGTTCCCAATTTAAACTGGCAGTTATCTGATGCAAATCGAGACTACAAGGTAAGTCTGGGTTTGGTACTTTCCCTGAGAGAGGCCAAAGTCACTTGTGTTTGGGAGAGAAGGGCAGAGATTAGGAAGGGAGAGGAGAAGGGATCAGAAAATGATGTGTTTTAAATTTTATGTTTTAAGTGTTGCCATCCACTGTGTAATATTGTTTCAACCAGTCACATTTTGCAATGCATTATTTAATGTGTTGTAACCAAAACCCCATTGTAAAGTCAAGAAGCCTTGCTTTAAGGTTGTCTGACTGGTTACACATTTATGACTTAATATTATCATTTTGGAACTAACCGACTCCTGTAACACTTCACCTGACATCTTCTGTTTTTAAAATTAAAATATTGTACATTCCCAGGGTGCCTCCCCACCCCAAATTAATTTTTCAGTTAGTAACAGAAAAAGAGAAATGTATTCTATAATTTTGACAGTATGGTAATGAGATGGATCATTTTATTTGTTTGGAGTGTTGTTGTCTCTCTCTGTTGACTTTATTTACGTTGTTGTAGATATGTGTGGAGATTTTTGGGCTCTTTTCTTCTCATCAGTTCATAGAAATCTTCCATGTCTCTTTGTGTTCTTCATATTTATCATTTGTTCAACCTTCTTTTAATTGTGGGGCAAATATTTTGTTTGGGCATACATAATGCTGGGAGTATTTTTGTTCAGTTGGGTCTTTTCTTGCAGTGGTTAACCTTCTTGGGATATAGTTCCAATAGTAAATCTCAGGGATATGGGAAATGGACAATTTAGTAACTTCTTACGTAATTCCAAATTGTCTTTCAGGAAGGTTGAACCAATTTATATCTCTACTGGCAGTAAATTAGCACATCTATCTTTCCACAGCTTCCCCAAAAGTTTTTTCTATTTTTTAGGAACTTTGCTAGTTTGATAAATATGAAGTGATGCCTTGGGGGTATTTTGATGTGGTTTTCTTCTGATCATTAGTGTTTTGGGACATTTTTTGGGGAGGGATCAGATAACTTTTAAAAGTAAAATCTATATGCAGAGTTTTCTTTTGGTAGCTTTTATGTAGATTATTTTTGGAATATGAATCAAATGTTTAAATTTAGTTGTTCTATTTCAGATTTGTGAAACCTATCCCAGAGACCTTTATGTTCCTAGGATAGCAAGTACACCAATAATTGTTGGTAGTTCCAAGTTCCGGAGTAAAGGAAGATTCCCAGTACTGTCATATTATCATCAGGATAAAGAGGTAAGAACTCTTTGTTTTTCTTTTCATTGTATTACAATCTGTATTCAAATTTCAGTGACCCAAAGTGACAGAAACCAAGTGTAAAAACTTAATATTCTTAAATGCTTTTGCTGACAAGAGAAACCATGTTTCCTTTTCTTTATGAAGTTTTTAAAACTTTCAAGTAAAACAGACAAATTAGACATCTAGTAATTTATAGTGTCTTAAGATCATAAATTTATAACTAGAAGTTACCTCTAAGGTCATGTGGCTTAACCCCATTATTTTACAGGTGAGGAAATTTAGGCTTCCAGAAGTTCCTCTGGTGAACTTCTGAGAGGACATGAACGAAAGCTATCCAAGGATAGGCAAGCCTTTCTGGGTTTTGATCTGCATCATTGGAGGGACTTCCAAATCAATGAGCTCACATATCCCTTTTGAGTAGTTATAGATTTTGAAATATACATATGCTGTTGCAATACCAACTGCCTATTGGATATTTCTAATTGACTTTCCCAGGGACATCTCATCAGAGCTCATTATCTTTCCTCTCAAATTTACATCTCTTCTAAACTTTTCTATTTCTGCTGGTCACTTAATCAATAGGTACTTATTAGGCACTTATTATGTATCTGGCACTATGGTAAGTTCTGTAGATACAAGTAAAAAGAATGAAACAGTTCCTACTCTCAAGGAGCTTATATTCTAATATGGGAGACAATAGGTACTAATAAAATATATATACAGCATAAACATAAAGTTAATTACATACAAAGTAGTAAATGCAAGGCTGTTTTGGAAGGAGGACACTAGCTTTTGTGGGGGTTCAGGACAGGCTTATTTCATGTGGAAGATGTTTGAGCTGCTTCTTAAAATAAGAGGACCTGGGGCAGCTAGGTGGCACAGTGGATAGAGCCCCAGCCTTGGAGTCAGGAGGACCTGAGTTCAAATCTGACCTCAAGACACATACTTCCTAGCTGTGTGACTCTGGGCAAGTCACTTAACCGCAATTGCCTCAAAAACAAAACAAAACAAAATAAGAGGACTTAAATGAGGTGAATGTAAGGAGACAGTGCATATAGGATGGCTATTGTAAAGGAATAGAGATGACAGACAGTGTTGTGAGGAAAGAGAAAAAGTCAATTCGGCTGTGTTGAGGAGTATGGGAGGGGAAAGTAATGTCCAACAAACCTGAAAAGATAGGTTAGGTACAGGTTGTATAGGGCTTTAGAAGCCAAACAGAAGAGGGAGACCAACTTGGGCACTGTTAAAATAATCTAGGTAAGAGGTGATGAGAGCCTGAACTAAAATGGTAGCTTAGTGAGTACAGAGAAAGGTTGGATGTGAGCGATGTGGCAAAAGTAGAAATGGCAAGATTAGGAACCATAACCAGAAAGTGGTGGTGCCTTCTTCAGAAATAGGGAGAGTTTACAAGAGGGAAAAGTTTTCAGGAAAAGATGATGAGTTCAGCTTTGGACATGTGGAGTATATCATGTCTCTGGGACATCAGTTTGAAATATCCAGTAGACAATTGATAATGGAGGACTGAAGTTCAAGGGAGAGACAAAGTCTGGATATGTATAGATCTGGCATTCATCTGCATAGAGATAATAGTTAAACCCATGGGAACTGATGAGGTTAGCAAGAGATCATTGAGGGAGAAGAGAAAAAAATTTCCAATAAATCCAGCCAATCCAATATATATTAAGTGCCTGTGGCATGTGAGGCACTGTGCTTAGCATTGGGAATGCAGTTAATAAAAAGAAAAACAGTCCCTTCCCTAAACAAGCTTATAGTCTAAAGGGGGAGACAACACACAAAAGGAGAGAGGAAAAGGGGGCTGAGGGGACAAGGGCAGATGAGATGGGACACCAGAGGGTACTCAGTGCATAAACATCTTGTTCTTGGAGTTGAAACCAGGCAGGGCAACAGATGCAAAGTGGAGTGATCTGAGAGTCCAGTTTCTGCACTCTATAAGGAAGGCATTGGGAGAAGTTTGGTACTCTGCCCTCTGAACAGAAGGGAGAGGAGACTGGGGGAGCTGGGGTCAATCAAGGCTTGAGTTAGCAACATGGTGGTGAGTTTAGAAGTGATGAGGTTATTCTGAGAGGGGCATCTTGTTCCTTGGAGTTGAAACCAGGTAGGGCAGCAAATGCAAAGTAGAGAGCTCTAATGCACAGTCTTGAGGAGGACCAGCAGTTAGTTAGGAGTCATATCATGATAGGGATGATAAACCAGCAAAGGAGACTGAGGATTGTTCAATTAGGCAAACTAGGAAATGCCCAGATATACATCTTCATTGTCATATTCAACTCCTCACTCTCCCTCATCCGAGATATCAGTTGCTAAATCTTGTTACCTCCACAACATTTCTTAGCTGTCCTCTTCTCACTACCCATAGTCACCACATTAGTTCAGGCCCTTAATCGTTTCTTGCCTGGAATATTATGATAGCCTCATAACTGGGCTTTCTGCTTCAAGTCTCTCCTCCAGTCTAATTCATTCTTCCCATCGCTGCCAAAGTGATTTTCCTTAAGTGTAGATCTGGCTATGTCCTAACTCAGTACACACCAATGACTCCTGTTGATTCTAGGATAAAATATAAACTCCTCTTTTTGGCTTCTGAAGTCCTTCACAACTTGGCCCCAACTTACCTTTCCAGCCTAATTTTATACTACCACTCATCCCACTCTGCAGTTTGCCCAAACTGACCTTCTTACTGTTGCTCAAATACAGCACTCCCATCTCCCATCTCCAGACCTTTATACTGGCCATCCTCCACATCTGGAATGCTTTGCCTACTCAAGCATTCCTCCTACAAAAAGTCTTTCTTATTCTTCCTAGCTGCTAGTATATTCTCTTTCTACACTGTCTTCTGTTTATTTTATGTTTATTTTGTATTTACTTGTATTTATATATGTTATCTCCCCTAATGTAATGTAAGCTCCTTGAGAGCAAGGACTTTTATTTTTGTCATTTTATCATATGCTCTTAGCACAATGCCTGGCACGTAATAGATTTTTTTTCCTTCCATGAAATCTACTTTTTCTCCTTCTCTGTTCCCTCTTTAGAGAGTAAGAAAGACAAACCCCTGTTATAAACATGTCTAGTCAGGCAAAACAATTCTAGCATTGGCTATGTACAAAAAAATTTTACATGTATCTATGTATCTCAAACCATACTCTGAATCCATCACCTCTTTATCAGAAAGCAAGTAGCATAGTTCTTCTGGAATTGTGCTGATCAGAGTTCCTAAGTTTTTCACGGTTATTTGTCTTTACAATATTGTTGTCATTGTATTTTTTCTACTGGCTCTGCTTACTTCATTCTCCATCAGTTCATATACATCTTCCTGTGTTTCTCTGAAATCATCATCTTCATTTAATATATATGTGTGTGTGTGTATATATATATGTGTGTGGTAATATATATATATATAATATAATATGTAATTTTTCCCCCACTTACATGTAAAGACAATTGTTAACATTCATTTTTAAAAATTTTATGTTCTAAATTCTTTCCTTCCCCTTCCACTCTCTGAGACAGGAAGCAATTTGATATAAGTTATACATGTACAATCATGCAAAACATTCTTATAAATTTGACTCAATTATCTTTATTTGAGAAATGAGGCCTTTATTAGAGATACTTCCTATAAAAATTGTTTCCTAGCTTTTTGCTTTCCTTCTAATCTTGGTTGCATTGGTTTTATTTGTGCAAAACCTTTTTAATTTAATATAATCAAAATTATCCATTTTGTATTTAGTAATGCTGTCTCTTTCTTGTTTGTCATAAATTCTTCCCCTTCTCCATAGATCTGACAGGTAAACTATTCCTTGCTTTGCTAATTTGCTTATGGTATCCCCTTTTATGTCTAAATCACATACACATTTTGATCTTATCTTGGTATACCATGTGAGATGTTGGTCTGTACCTAGTTTCTACCATACTGTTTTCCAGTTTTCCCAGCATTTTTTGTCAAATAGTGAATTCTTGTCCCAAAAGTTTGGGTCTTTGGGTTTGTCAAATACTAGATTTCTGTGGTCATTTACTACTGTGTCTTGGGTACTTAATCTATTCCACTGATCTGCCACTCTATTTCTTAGACAGTACTGATGATTACTACTTTATAATGTAGTTTGAGATCTAGTATGAGTAGGTGACCTTCCTTCACTTTTTTTTCCCATTAATTCTCTTGATATTCTTGACCTTTTGTTTTAACAGATAAATTTTGTTTAGATTTTTTTCTAGCTCTATAAAATACTTTTTTGATAGTTTGATTGATATGACACTGAATAAGTATATTAATCTAGGTAGAATTGTCATTTTTTTTTTGGCTTGGCCTATCCATGAGCAGTTAATATTTCTCCAATTGTTTAGAGTTGTCTTTATTTTAATAAAGGGTGCTTTGTTATTGTGTTCATATAGTTACTGTGTATAATCTTGGTCGGTAGACTACCAAATATTTTATGTTGTCTGTAGTTATTTTAAATAGGTTTTATCTTTCTATCTCTTCCTGCTGGATTTTATTGGTAATATACAGAAGTGCTTCTGATTTTTGTGGATTTATTTTATATCCTGTGACTTTGCTGAAGTTTTTTAGTTGATTCTCTAGGGTTCTCTAAATAAACTATCATCTGCAAAACTATCATCTTCATTTCCTCTTTCCCTATGCTTAAATTTCTTTTTCTTGTCTTACTGCTATAGCCAGAATATCTATATGTAGTATAGTTTATTGATTCATAGAGGTGAAAATGGATATTCTTGCTTTTTTAATTCCTGATCTTAATGAAAAGGTTTCTAGTTTATCCCCATTACATATATTGCTGGTACTTGGTTTTAGCTAGATACTTCTAATCATATTGAGGGAAGATCTGCTTATTTCTGTGCTTTCTTATGTTTGTAACAGGAATGGGTATTATATCTTGCCAAAAGCTTTTTATGCATCTCTTGATCACATTTTTTTTTATTAGTGTGGTCATTAATGTTTATAGTTCCCCAATATTGAACCAGTCCTGTGTTCTTAGTATAAATCCAACCTGTTCATAGCATATAATCTTTGTGATATGTTACGGTAATCTCCTTATTGATATTTTACTTAAAATTTTTGCATTGATATTGACTAACGATATTAGTCAACACACATGGTAGGTCCTTAATAAATGTTTGTTGATTAATTGGTTAACCCTTTACCTATACCTGAAATGGCAGACTTCACTTAGAGAATAATAATAATAACAACAGTGATGATAAGAACAGTGACACCAGCTCACATTTATATAGCACTTGAAGGTTTGTAATGGTACTTTATGTACATTATTTTATTTGATTAAATGTTATAAACTAAAATTATCTCGAAAATGAGAGAGGGTCATTAGGTTGGGGCATATATTATTCTTATATATTCTTCAGACCTATGATAGTCTTAAAAAAAATAGAGAAGTGGATATTTTGAGCACAGTCTTTGAGACAGTGTCTTAAAACTTATGTCTTTCAATTGGTATTGCAAACTCATTTTTAAATTAAGTAAACATTTTTTCTTTTTCCTTTCTAGCATTTCTAAAACATATTTTAGTGATATTTAGATAATTTGTATTTTTCTCCCTCCCTCCCTTTTTTTTTTTTTTTTTTTAAATTTAGGCTGCCATTTGCAGATGCAGTCAACCTCTCTCAGGTTTCAGTGCCAGGTGTCTGGAAGATGAACATATGTTGCAAGCCATCAGTAAAGCCAACCCCAGCAATCGGTATATGTATGTCATGGACACCAGACCTAAAGTATGTATGTCTAATAGTGTGGAATAGTATATCTTTTAAATAAAATATTCCTAACTGCTGAAATGTAAGTTGTGAAAAGGGTGCACATTTTTATCTTTAGATCTCAATTTAAAACTCAAACTTGTGACGGTAAAGTTGTTATAAAATATTTTAATCTTCATTGAATATGAATTGCTGTTTTTGCCTTGTTGCTAGTTATGATCCCCTATTTGGCATTCAAGTGGATACTAGCTACAAAAGGACAGGACTACATAGTCATCATATACAGGAAGCATTTACCTTCTCTTATTTTAAAGATTTTTTTTTTCTGAAAATGGGAAAAAATATAGAAGCAGGCCAAAGTGGGGATATATTCAAAACCACTTCCTTTACTGCACATATCTTTGATGTGGAGACCCATGATAAACCTAGAAAGAAGCCTTAACAAGTTCAAAATTAGCTATAACCTTCAAAGTTGCTTAAGTTTCAGGTGACAGATTAAAATATAAATAATTGAGGGATAGGGGATAAAATATAAATAGACTGGTCTTGAGATAGCTTTTTATGGAATTGAGATAAGAAACACAATGCAGTATAATATTTAAGAAATATCTTTTAGATAATATGTTAATTGTAATCTTTGTCATAGTCAGTTGTAGGTAAGGTTTATTATAGCAGCAAAGATAATTTGTTTTCTTCTTTTGGGGATTCTCTGAAATAAAATTGTCATTAGGCATTCTTGATTAAATTTCTAAGAGTTTTCAGTACTTTAAACTCTTTCCTAAGTATCTCACTAGAGAGTATGAATTTAGAGTTACTAAACTATGACATATATTGAAAAAAATAGGGTCTCCAAACCTATAAAAACCATTTTTCTATCTGTTTAAAAAAATTTGTTAAATCTGCCTTTATTACATACTACATTAATTACATATATCCATCATAAAATTAGAGTATACTTTAGATGGAGCTTACCATAAGGTTTTATGATTCAAGTCTTAGCTTACATGGAGGGCTAAGCTAAAATTGTTTGCATGACAAAATAAAAATTTTGGAAAATTCATTCAAAAGTGTCAATTTAGTGCACTAACTGGTTACTTGATTAGATTCTTATACAATGATACAGTCATCACATATCAGAGCCTAAGAATTTTTAAAACAACTGTTTATCTGATTTTTAAAGATGTCATAGAGTAGGACATGTAACTTTGTGGCTTTTTATTTGCTTTAAATTCAGAATGTATTCCCATTAAGCCTTTTTTTTTTTGACAAGTGGTGAGACATCTTTTTTCTTTAACCTCAAATATGAGAAAAGTTAGGCAATATACTTCCTTTGGAACTCTAAAAACAGGGTAAGAAGAAGCAGTAACCATATCCTCTTTCAAATTATATTTCTGCTCTGACCCTTTTTGCCTCATAGGGACTAAAATTATATCCATCACAATATATTAAATAGTATTGCAGCACATCAGCCCAGAGTAGTACCACAGGATAAAAACAATTTCCTAGCAATGCACAGTGATCATCTTTAGTATTTTTTGGTGTATGTGTATGTAACCTGTGAACCTTCGAAAATTTGGTTATTCTGGCGTTCTTCATTTGTTTCATGGAAATTTTGTATGAAGAGTGATTATTTAGTTTGTTAGGTTCTAGCATCTCTGTTTTGCATGTTTTTATACTTAATTGATGTAGCAATTTAATAATTGTGATTGTGATAAGTAAAAATTGTATGATATGTAAAAATGATGCGTTGTAAAAATTTACCTGATCTGTTAAGCAATATGAGCAACTATTCACTCTGTTAGATTGTAATTTTCACAATACCGGAAATATTTATGTAATTTTTCTTAATTGTAGGGCAGCTTGAATGATATAGATTGGCCCAGACACAGACATTTACAAAATAATGATTAAATTATATTTCAGTGTGAAAAAATGTATGCTTATTTGAGTTGAGGCTCAATTTCCACGTAAAATGGATTTTGCTAATGATGTGGATTTGTAATGTCAACTTATTGCCATACAGGAGTACAAAGCACATTTTGGAAGATGGGGCTCTCTAGATGTCTTCCTTTTTAGTAGTGCTAATTGGAGAAATTCCCTAACTAATAAAATAATGAACTTTAATTAGAAGTAAATGTGCATAAAAGATTTAGGAAAATAGATGGAGAGTTATTTTAGGAAACACTGAGACAGAGGAATAAAAATATTATACAATAAATTCTCATTTACCTGACTTATAAGGTTAAATTTTGATATATAGGCTTGGCACCTGAATAAGTTTTTCTTGGGTACAATAAGCAAAATTAAAATCAATTCATATAGGGTGCTGAACGTTGAACTAATTTTAACTTTCCAATTACATTGTTATACATAACATTACTTTTAATTTTTATTATAGCATCGCATGCAGAGCTGGTGGGCTTCAAAAAAGGACACTGGCAGAATTGTAGTGAGGATTTCTTCAAAAACCTGGAGAGATGAGAAAATAAAAGAAAGCCATGAGAAAGTGCGAGTGAGCGATCTAGAGCCCAAGACTATTTATTCTTAGGCAGATTTTGAAAGGAATGATAGTTGTTTTAGACATAATTTACTTCATTCTGCAGTCCCAAATGAAAAAGAAGTGGTGAAAAGGAAGATGAGTTGAACTTAATGGCTTAATATTATGAAGTACCAAAGGGAAGAAAATGCATAAACTAATAAAGCTTCTAATTTGTGAAAATGATTTTTTTTTAAAAATTATTTTTTTAGGACCAAGAGTGTTGGTGACATTTCCAGTAAAAAAGTCTTTAGTTTTATATTTTTGTCTTAGTTTAATGGGTGGAGTCATTGGTTAGAACTAGTTCTCATTTAGTTAGTAAATATAGCAATTGATTATAATGTAAGACATTTAGAAAAGCAGGTTTGAGTATGATTTACTCTTTATGCATATAAATTTCTTTAATTCTCTCTTCTTTGTGTACTTGTTTTTAGAGAGAAAATATACTTTCCTTTGAATGTTTTACTAGTCAGACTTGAAGTCAAGTAGTGATAATTTTGGAAGCATTTTTGTATGTGGTTCCATTTAAAAAATAACTTAGCTATCACATGCAATGAATCAGTGAATGAGTAGCTCTGCCATACATAACAATAGTAGTTGTCAGCCTATGGGCCAGGTCAAATGTTTAAGCTGCCTTCTTTTTTGGCCCATTAAACTGCTTCTTATAAACATTATAAGTAAATTTAATACTTTTTTCCTATTGCATCATGAAATATCCAGAAGGCTTAGATGAACTACAAATATGTTCATGCCTTTATGTTTAGGTATAGCAATTTAATTATTGTGATTCTAATAAGTGAAAATTGTTCTATATATGAAAGTTATACACTATAAAATTTTGACTGGTATATTAAGTAATAAGACAGCTCAAATCTGACCTCTTCAGTCCTCAGTCATGAGGTGTTTACTCTCTATTTATTTAACATGTGGCATTTTTATCTGGGATTCCTGTTGAAAAGATTTATATTTTTCTAGCATTATTTTTCTTCATTATTAAGAAAAAACCAGTAACATTTCCATTTGTTTAAAATAGTCATTTTTTAATTGATAGATTTTATTAATTAAATTTAGCAAGAGAACAGTTTAAATATCTGTTAGCTAAAAATGGTATACTTTCATCTTTTCATGAAAATTTATAATAAAAAATTTTTAAAGAAAGTAGACAAATAACTTTTAAAAAATAAACTTTGTTTTAAAAATTTTTTGTTTTCTTTTATATTTTAGCTGAATGCTATGGCTAACAGAGCAGCTGGAAAAGGTTATGAAAATGAAGATAACTATTCCAACATTAGGTTCCAGTTTGTTGGAATTGAAAATATTCATGTAATGAGATCTAGTTTGCAAAAACTATTAGAAGGTATGATTTATTACTGCTCTACAATAATGTTCTTTTACAGCTTTTCCTAGAAAGTTATGCTAAAAATAATCAGTACAACGTAGTAAAGACCTGTGATTTTAGTTTATTCCTTTTTAATATTAGCCTGCTTTTGTGGGTGTTATGTATTGGTAGGAAAATCAAGTCAGGCTTGTTTCAGTTGATAAGTCATGTTAGAAACTTTAAAAAAATTAAAAGTAGTTTCCTCACCTATATCTTAAGGGATTACACCAAATCATTTTTAGGTTCGTTTTAGCTTCAAGTCCTATGATTCAATGATCCTGCTTGTTTTTAAAACTGAAAAAAAAGGAATGAAAATTTTTTTTTCCACAGAAAATCATGTCTATTTATTTGATCTGGTTTGATATTATAGTTGTACCTCTATAATCAAGCATTTTCCAGTGTGAAAATAAAAGTAGTAGTTTTACTTTCTTTCATACTAGGCTTGAAAAAGAGAAGTAGAAATTCTATTATTTTTCTAATAAAAATGCCTTTTATCTTTTCTAGTCAATGGGACAAAAGGTCTTTCTGTGAGCGATTTCTTTTCGGGTTTGGAGAGCTCTGGATGGCTTCGCCACATCAAAGCTGTTTTGGATGCTGCTATCTTCTTAGCCAAAGTAACTTTTTACTTTTGTAATTAAAGTAAGGAGATCTGTAACCTTACTTTGTGTTTTTGTGGGCACAAAATAAGATGCTTCAATATCTACCTGATTTTCTAATTACCTTTTAGTTTGCTTGGAGCAAAATTGTTCTAAACACTTCAAACTATAGTCTAGTTGCTTTCTAACTTGATTAACACTGAGATACTATTCTAAAAGAATGAGGCTAATTTTTAAAAATAGATGTCAGAATTTCTATGTCCAAATGAATGTTGTCCTTAAGAAGGTATTTACCTTGTAGAATTATTTGCTTATTCCAATAATTGCCAATTACCTTCTGAACTGATGGTACTTTAAAAAAAAAATATCCTTGATGGTGTCAGATCTTTGCATTATGAGGGTGAATTTCACTTTTAGAAAAAGCTGAAATCATGACCAGAACAAAGTTTGCTCAGTAAGATGGTTTATGAGACTAGCTAATATAAATGTTCAGGGACCTAAAGTATTGACATAGTGAAGAAAGATTCATTAGGCTGATGTTCACTCTTCATGTGGTATGTAGAATTAATCAGAAACTAAAGAATTTCATCACCGTAATTCTGTTAAATGAATGAATAGCTCTATCACGTATTTATTAAACACATACTGTTGTCACGCACTATAGTAATCTCTGACCCTTTTAACCTATTTATGTATCTAGTAACTGTTTAGGTAACTCTTTGTGCTGTCATCATGGATATCCTCCTTAACTGCTTTGTGTATTCCATGTAAAAAAAAACAAAACCCTCCAGTCTTGATGTTACTTTGTGTACAAAAGTATCTTTTTAACATAACAAGTTTAACACTTAATTGTTTTTTTTTTCTTATCACAAAGAATTTGATGTTATTCCCACAAAGAAAATTCATTGTTTTTTTTTTATACTGGCCTGAAACAATTGCTTGTGCAAGACTGAGTTGACTTGGAAAATTCTATCCCTTGCAATATGTCTCTGACCTTACTTTGATGGCTTTTCCTCTTTCATAATCACACTTGAAAATGAGTCTCATTGCTTTTGAATAATATTCATGTATATAAGATGATTTAGGATTCTGAGAGTTACAGCTCTTTTTTTCTAAATAAAAGTTTTACTAATGCATTAGTATTTGGACAAAGTTATTGTAGTGGGTATGAAAGGCAGACAGACATACCATTACAGGCTATAGGAAAACAAAAAAGGTTTTATTCATTTAAAATATTAAACAAGCCTCTGAGATTTAGGTGACTGACTAACAAATCCATAAAACAAATTAAATCTGGAAGATTAGATCCAGTAATAGTACCTACAGGATCACTGAAAGTAGAACTTTACATTCTTCTGTTCTTTCCTACTAATTCCATTAGCTCTTTCCAAAGAACAATGCTCTCAAATGATAATTAATTTCAAGGTCTTGGGAAACACTGTCATGAAGAATGTAGGTAGAAGAAATATTAACTTAGATTTTGGGGAGTTTTACTCAGGAAACATTTATGTTATTTTACCTAAACAAATTACAAGATTTATGTGCATCCTGAATACTGAATTCAAGGAAGGTTTATGATTCATAAGTTTTGCCAGTGGAAATAGTTCAGAACGAGCAATACAATATTCTTCCTAGCAAATTATTTTCCTCATGTTATATTTATAGTAAAGACATAAGGAAAATAATTTCACTTGCTTATTACATATCAAGGATGTCTATAGGTCTGATGGTGGTCTCATGGTTTAGCATCTACTTTATTGTGCTATACAGCTACTATTGATCTGTGTTCAGAAAACTATTTGTCTTTGGTCAGCAGTTTGAATTGTAGAAGTTAGAAGCATCTTAATTTTATGGACTTGAAATGAAACCTTAAGGAAGTTCTTAAGCAAGTCATGCTGTTGATTATTTGTGTGACTTTAGGCAGGTTAAGACTTTTTACTTTCTCCTTCCTACCACAGATTTTGATAATGAATGTAGATAACATAATAAATGTCTGTTTAGCATTGTCGGCTCCTAGGAAGAAAAGGTTTTATAAATATTATTGCCAGTATTTAAGTATATTTGCTACCTGCCCTTTGTACAACATTCTTTACAATTCTTGAAGTGGCAAAAAATGGAGAACCTGGAAGGGACCTTAGAAGTCATCAGGTCTAACCCCCTAATCTTATATAGGGGAAAACTGAGACCCATCAAAGTTAAACCCAGAGTCACATGACTGGGGAGGCAGAATTGGAACCCAAGTCTTCTTGATTCCAACTCCAATGCCCTATCACCATGCTACCTCTCAAAAAGTAGGAAGCCACGCTACTATGCCAGTTATATTTTCCTGTACGAAAAAGGAAAATCAGAAATTCATCTTTGAAGAGTTACCCTACCACATCACTCATTAGGAACACCAGTTTGGAAGATTGCTGCACCTCATGTCTCCCACCCATCTCTTATCTTACTGTCGGAAATGTCCTCTAATAAATCTCTTTTTGGACACATAAATCTTGAGGCCAGGCTTTCTTCTTTTTCTCTCTCTAGTGCGAATGCTAGTTTAACATATAATCATTTTCCTCCTGGCCCTAATCCTAACTTCCTTTGGACTTCCATGCCCCTTCTACAGTTGACTGGCTCGTCCTGGAACTTCTCTCAGTGCCTGGGGCCTCCTCATCCTAGAATAGCCCATTCACCATGAAATCTCCCTTAGCAAGGTCCACCCTCATTCAGCTAATAATTCCTTCAAATCTCTTAAATAACTGATCTAATGGCTTTTTCTTAATCATTATGCTTCTTGACCTCTCTGCAGCATATGTTGATCACTTTTTTCTTTTCTGCATGCACTCTTCTGAGTTTTTGTGACACTGCCCTTTCATGGTTTTACTACTTTTGTCTCAATTTCCTTTGATTTCCTGAATTATCATCCATTTCATGCCCTCTTAACCATAAATGAGGGCAGCAGGGTGGTGCAGTGGATAGAGAGCACTGGGCCTCAAGTCAGGAACACGAGTTCAAATTCAGCCTCAGATACTTCCTAGCTCTGTGACCCTGGGCAAGTCACTTAACCCTGTTTACCTCAGTTTCCTCATCTGTAAATGCGCCGGAGAAGGAAATGACCAACCACTCCAGTGTCTTTGTCAAAAAAAACCCCAAGTGGGGTCATGAAGAATAGGACATGTCTGAAAAAGATGGAACAACAAAAGAGATAAGACCATATCTTTCCCTACTTTAATAAAGTCCGTTGGGCCCCTAATATCTTTAGGATCAAATGAAAACTCCTTTTTGACATTTAAAACTCATCATAGTCTGGCCTTCAACATACCTTTCCAGCCTTTTTGTACATTACTCCCTTTCATGCATGTTATTGCCCAGCCTTCCCACTGGGCTTTCTTACTTTTCCTTATACATAGTATTCCACCTCCCATCCCCATGCCTTTTCCGTGGCTGTCTTCCATACCTGGAATGTACTCATCTCTAGCTCTTAGAATCTCTAACTTCCTTCAAGGAATAGCTCAAGCATCAGCTTCCACATGAATCCCTTCACCTCCCTGTGGCACTCCCTCTCCACCCCTCCCCCTGCCCTGCCACTTTATATATGTACACAGTGTTTTCCTTGGGTAGGTTATAAGCTCCTTGAGGTCAGGCACTGTTTCACTTTTGTCTTTGTATCTCTAGCACTTAGCATATTTCATGCCACATAATAAATAATTTAATCAATATTTGTTGATTAAATGACTCATTAGCCCTCCTGAATATTTTTGGCCTTTTGGGGATATAGTTATAAACAAAAAAAGTGAAGATATTTATTTTCAGAATTACTTAAATTTTTAGAAGCTGGGGTTATGTCTGTTACTTGGCCCCTGAATTTTGCTAGCTGTCTTTTTCCTTTTTTTCTAGCATAGCTTTTAATAAGCCCTATCTTTAAAGGGAAATTCACTTTTATTCTGTTTTTAGAAACATAGGTTATATTTATAGTATGTTACCTAGAGATTGCCTTTTCTTAGGACTTTATATTTTCCCAGCAAGTGACATTTTCTGAATGAATTCAACATAGAACACTTTGACAAGTATTACCTTTTCAGTTGATCCTGTTATATGAGATTATGTACGTTTATAATTAGTAGAGCTTACTGATTCAACTAAAATGCTTTCCCCTGATGTATACTTATATGTTTTCTATTTTTAGGCAATAGTGGTTGAAAGTGCGAGTGTGCTGGTACATTGCTCTGACGGTTGGGACAGGACCTCTCAAGTTTGTTCCCTTGGTGCTCTCTTGTTGGATTCCTATTACAGAACGATCAAAGGATTCATGGTGAGGATTTATTTGACATTCAGTTTGAAGGTTTTCCAGTGTTAGCATAATCTATACAAAATGCTGTTTTGTGACTTTGTAAAATTAATTAAAAATGTACTGGAATATTCTTTTTGAATCTTTTAAAAGTACTATATTTTGAAAATAATTTTATACTAGGCTAGGTTAGAATTGCTTATAAAAGATAACATATTGCCATCTTTTAACAAATAAAAATGATTGAACCTGACAACAACTGACCTGAATTAAGGGAACTTTTTTTATCTAGTGATCTTCTATGCTTTGTTTCATGTCAGGAAGGTGAGATAAGATTGTAATAGTCCTGCTTTGCTTTGCCCTGGTCAGATCACACCATAAGTATTGTGTTCCATTTTGGGTTCTACCTTTTAGTATTTAAAGTGACAAGTTGAAAGACATCCACAGTACAATAGTAAGGATAGTTAAGGGCCGTGAGATCATGCCATATGAAAATTGGTTGAAGGAATTGGGTATATTTATCCTGGAGAAAAACAGAAGATTTAGAAGGGGATGAGATGAAAACTGCATTCAAGTATTTGAAGGACTGTCATGTGGAAGAGAAGTTGGGCTGTGTGGTTGGCCTAGAGAGCAGTACTAGAGAAATTTGTGGGAGCTGCAAAGAAGCAGATTTGGGATCACTTTCAAGGCAAACTTCCTAATTATTAGAAGTATCCAAAAGTGAAATGGGTTGCCCTAGGAGGCAGTGAGTTCCTTCTCTCTTGAGGAGTTCATTGGGAACCTAGATGACCAACTGTTGGGTATGGCATAGGGCAATTCTTGTTCAAGTATAAATGGATTGGATGGCTTCTGGGGTCTTTCACATCTCTGAGATTTTGTGCTTCTATAGATATGATTATAATTTTGAGTTATTTAAATATGAGCTGTTATTATTATGTGACATTGAAAGGTTTCTCTCTAAAAATACAGAGTGAGCCTCCCAACATCATTTGTGCTTGAGAATTCCAGAAGCCAAAGTTTCTTGGAGTAACGAGTTTGTGCCTGGTTAACCTGAAAGTTCTGTTATTTAGAGAGTTGTGGAGTAGAAAACTTGCGTTTGAGTCTTGGCTGTGCTGCTTGCCACCTTTGTGATTTGAATAAGTCTCTTAATGTCTCAATCTTACAATTTGCAACAGTAATATTTTTCAAAGTTCCCAGTCTGTCTTGCACAAGTAATTATAGAATCATAGAATCTGAGAGTTGGAGGGGACCTCAGCAGGGAAAGTAATAAGCATTAATTAAGTGCCTATATGTGCAGAACACTGTGCTAAATGCTTTATAAACAATTGGGTGCTATTATTATCCCCATTTTATAGGTGAGGAGACAGAGGCAGACAGAGATTAGGTGAGTTGCCCAAGGTCCCAACAGCTCGGAAGCATTTGAGAATGGATTTGAACTTTCTAGATACTCCCCTGATTATCAGTGTCTTTTCTGGCTCCCTCCCCAGCATTTTATCCACTACTCCACCCAGCTGCCCAGTCCTGAGCAGCTAATTTAGTGCAACCAGTGAATGGGAGCAAGCACTTACGGCATATCTGACAAGTGATTATGCAGTGTCTGCTTGAAGACCTTCAAGGAGGGAAACTCACCATTTCCTAAGGCAACCTATTTCACTTTAGAGGAGTTCTAATTGTGAGAAACTTTTCCTGACATTGAGTATAAATTGATCTTTTTGCAACTTCTACCTATTTACTTGTGCTTCCGCTTTCAGGTGCTAAACAGAACACATAAACCCTTCCTTGACATGACAGCACTTTAAATTATTTTTTTTTATTATTATTTTATTTTTTTCCAGTTACATATAAAAATTTTTTAATATTTGTTTTTTAAAATTTTCAGTTCCAAATTCTCTCTTTCCTTTTCTCCCTTCCCCCTCCCTGAGATGGCAAGCAATTTGATATAGGTTTTACGTGAGCAGTCATGCAAAACATTTCTATATTAGTCATGTGAAAAACACAGACAAAAAACAAACAAACACAAAAAAAAAATAAAATAAAAAATGGTATGCTTCAATCTGCATTCAGATTCCATCAGTTCTTTCTCTGGAGGTGGATTGTATTTTTCATCATAAGTCCTTTGAAATTATCTCCAATCACTGTATTGCTGAGAATAGCTAAGTCATTCAGTCGATCATCATATAATCCTGCTGTTAATGTGTACAATGTTCTCCCGGTTCTGCTCAGTTCACTTTGCATGAGATCAAGTAAGTCTTTCCAGGCTTTTCTGAAAGCATCCTGCTCATAATTTCTTATAGCACAATCATATACCATAACTTGTTCAGCCATTCCCCAGTTGATGGGCATCCTCTCGATTTCCAATTCTTTTCCACCACAGAAGGAGCTGCTATAAATATTTTTGTAGGTCTTTCACTCACACCTGTCCTGCTTCCCTTTTTAAAAAAAATCTCTTTGGGATACAGACCTAGTAATGCTAGGTCAAAGGTTATGCACCGTTTTATATCCTTTTGAACACAGTTCAAATTACTCACCAGAATAGTTGAATCAGTTCACAATTCCCAACTCTACCAACAGTGCAATAGTATCCCAATTTTCTCACACTCCCTCCAATATTTGCGGTTTTCCTTTTCGTCATTTAGCCAATCTGATAGGTGTGATATGGTACCCCAGAGTTGTTTTAATTTGTATTTCTCTAATCAATAATGATTTAGAGTATTTTTTCCTATGACTATAGAGAGCTTTGATTTCTTTGTCTGAAAACTGCAGTTCATGTCCTTTGACCATAGCACTTTAAATTCTTGAAGACAATCTCCATATCCCCCAAGTCTTTTTTTAATCTAGGCTAAACACCCCACATTCTGTCAACTGATCCTCATATGGCATAGGTTCAAGGCCCTTCACTGTCATGGTTGCCCTTTCTGGGTATTCCCCAGTTTATTGGTGTCCTTCTTAAAGCGTGGAGACCAGATCTGAGCATAGAAGTCCAGATGTGGTCTCTTGAGGGAAGAATTGAATTAGAGCATCAACTCTGTTATTTTAAGCTGTGCTACTCTTAGTGTAGCCAGGATCTTATTAGCTTCTTTGACTGATACATCACACTGCTAACATATTGAGTTTTCAGTCCATTAAAACTCCCAGATATTTTTCAGAACAATTACGTTCTAACCATTTCTCTTCCATCTTATACTTGAGAAGTTGGTTTTTTTCTACCCAAGGGTAAAAGCCTATTGAATTTCATCTTATTAGATTCAGCCCAATGCTAGCCTTTTGAGATCCTTTTGGATCCTGACTCTATCATCTGTCATACTCTGTCTCCTCCTCCACCCTCCAAACTTTGTGTTATCCACAAATTAGATGAACATGCCATCTGTACCTTTATCCAAATCACTGATAAAAATGGTGAACAGCCCAGGGCCAAGCCCAGATGCCTAAGGTATTCCTTAAAGCCCCACTGTGTTGACACTGAACCATTACCACCTACTCTTTGAGCCCTGCCATACAAACAGTTCTGAATCTGATTGTATTATCATCTAATCATTGTCTCTCCATCTTCTCCATAAGTATGGTATACTTTATCAAAAGCTTTGCTAAAATCTGTGTAAACTATATCCACACCATTATCTTCATCTATCAATTCAGTGTTACTGTCCAAAAAAGAAATGTGTTGAGTCTGGCACAGTTTATTATTGATAAAGCCATGTTGGTTCTTTGTAATTATCCACTTTCCTTTTTAGATGTTCACCGATCATGTCTTTAATAATATGTTCCAAAATTTTCCCATGTGATGATCAAAAAAGTTAGACATAGTTTCTGGGTAATTTAATCATTTTATTAATAAGGCTATTATGTTTTTAATAAAAGGATGGTCATTTGGCTGTCTCTCGTAGACCAAAGACAACCATAGCGATGGGGCTCACAGTTTATATATCGTTAGGTGTTCAATGAGGGGCTGAAAGTGACCCTTAGAGAAATTATCTCTTCTCAGATCTCCAGCAGCCTTGGGCTATCTAGACAAAAGGATCTATGTTCACTCAAGCTTGAGTAGAATGGGCTTCCCCCACCCTAAATTAAATTCCTTGGGAGGTTGGGTGGGGTCTGACCAAGATCAGAGTCAATGCAATCTCATTATCAGTAAAGTCCTTCAAGAAAACTCAGCTTTGAACAGGACTTTGGAAGAAGGGTGGGAGAGCTCTGAATCTCCCCAAATATTGGTTATTAATAATCATTTCTCTCAGGAAATCAAAAGTCATGCTCACTGGTTTATAATATACAGGTTCTATTCTCTTACCTTTTTTGAAAATTGGGACAATATGTGCATTTTTCCAGTCTTATGGTATTGCTCCCATTTTTCATAGTTTTCTAGATATCACTAACAGTTCATCAATCACAATGGCCAATTTTTTCAGAACCAGAGGATGTAGTATACCTGGGCCAAGTGACTTGAATTCGTCAAGGGAAGTTGGTTGTTCTCTTACAATCCTCATTCCTTATATTCTTTAAAACTATTTTAAACCCACCTACTCTGTGAATCCTCTGATAAAAATCACTTATTCATAATAGTTATAAAAACCCACTTCAATACAACTTTGTATAAACTTGGATTTGTGTTTCTTTATGTTCATTTTTTAACCTGAAAAATACCTTGAGCAGAGACTGCAACTTATTTTTATTTTGTAAAGCCTTTTTAGGGCTATAATCAATACAATAGGACCTCAGTAAGTTAGTCGATAGTGACATCTGGATTCATTTTTAAATTGTACTTCAGTTTAGCTGTTAAAATTATTTCTTAACAGTATTTTCTAAGCTGTCTTTGTTGTGTTAATGATGGGTGCTGTGTTATTAAAGATTAACAGGAAGCAGCTATCTTTCTTGTCAATATTTTTATAGTGTGTTAGATGAGGCTAACAAGATCTGTAAAATATAATATGGGGAAAGATAATATTATGGTTAGGAAAATACTAGAATTTGATGTTTTTTATAGCTATTAAGGAAAGATGTCTAATGCTATATTTAGGATAATGTGTTTTGATCATTCAGAGTAGATTGAAAGGCAGTTTTTTGAAATGATTTCGTAATTTATTTTTCTTCTAGGTTTTGATAGAGAAGGACTGGATCTCCTTTGGACATAAATTTTCAGATAGGTACAGAATAGTAAAATTTGTATAATTGACAACCTTAGCCTTTTAAAACTTTGTACAATTTATTTGGGCTGAATTGTGTCTAATGGCAGAGAGCATTAATATCTTGAAATATCAGTGCTATTATAAATTATATTATTATTTACATGAAAGCTAATATTTTTCCTACCAGAATAAATTGCTGTCAGGTATCTAGATGTATTTCTTTTAATGGCTAGTTGAATGATATGTAAATAAAAGTAATTCAGTTATTCAACACAAATTTTAGTGTTCAGTATTTGAATGCAGCAGACAGTTTGATCTGTTATTGTTGAAATGTATTTGTAAGGCTGGCTATTAAATGTATATACCTTATTACAAGTTAATTAATTCCAGTTCTCATATGTCAACAAAACAAAAAATGTTTGGACTTTTTTCATGTATGTAGTTTATACAATACTTAATTGATTAATTTCTTTCACATACATTTTAAAAACTTTTCGCTTTTGGGGACATATATAGGTGTGGCCATTTGGATGGTGACCCAAAGGAAGTTTCACCAGTGTTTACTCAGTTTTTGGAATGTGTGTGGCATTTGACAGAACAATTTCCACAAGCTTTTGAATACAATGAAGCATTTCTTCTTCAGATCCATGAGCATGTCCATTCATGCCAGTTTGGAAACTTCCTTGGGAATTGTCAAAAAGAAAGAGAAGATCTCAAGTAAGATTATGTATTTTAAATGGATTTTTTAAAAAAATTCTAACAAGCTGAGCACTATGTGAGGTAGTGAAAAGAGCCCTAGATTTGGATTTGTGAAGATCTGGTTTCAAGTTCTTTCTCTGTGGGACCAAGGGCAAGTTACTTAACTTCTCAACTCCCTGAGGCATCTTCTTTATAAACAAGTCACTGATCTTCATGAGTCAATAGGGTTTTCCTGCTGGAAGTTCTCTACATTGATGAAGTCCCTAGACTAGATTGGGGAAAAAAGAAATTTGATGAAACATTGAACTATTGGTTATTTTAAAGTATAAGGAAATAAGCACATTTCTCATAATTACAAATAAATAATTTTGTGGAAAAAAAAATAAAATTAGAAATGTTTGAAAATGTTTAGCCATTATAATAGTCACAGATTGGTTTAGGGTCACTCTGTGTAGAAATATGTAATTTTAGATCTGTCAGTTTATACAGTTTGATTCCTACATTTTTCACTTGAAAACAAGCACAGAAACCCTTATACTCCTATTTATTGGCAGAGTTTGAACTAGAAACTTGTCTTTTTAACTCACTTTTTTTACTCCTCTTCACTTAGAGGAGTTCTTTCTCACTCCTCTACCCTAATGTGCCACCTTGTGGAAACTTGTTTCTTCTCCAGTATAAATCCTCTGTTCTTAAACAGTTTTTTAGGTATAGTAAATTAACTAATGAAGTTGGTAGAACCTGAGAGTTACACAAAGAGGTCCCATGGAGGACTTTGAAAATCATACGGAAACATTTTTACCTCCATGTAAGCTGTGGGGAATGATTAGAAGTTTTTGAGTTGGGAAGTACCGTGATGAAAGAGTTTGAAGAAGGTTAGTCTGGCAGCAGTATGCTAGCATCTCCCCCTTTACACTCAGCACAGTGCTCCACATATAAAAAGTGTTGTGTCATTGTTAATTGAATGATTGGAAGAAAGGAGAGAAGAGAGTTTCCAATAAGCTAGCCAGGAATATCCTGCAGTAAATCTTGGTGTGAAATGACAAACGTTTATACTTAAGTTTGTGGCAGTGGGAATGGAGATTAAGGCAAAAGTTAAATATTTAAATAGAAATTGAACTATTTTAAAGAGGTAATTTATATTACTTGATGACAGATTGGATAATAGAGATCCAGAGGATAGAATCAGACAGAACTCCAGTATTTGTCATCTGCTGAGTTAGTTAAATCTCTGTCCTAGCCAGGGCTTAAGAGTGTTCTCATTTTTATTCAGTGCACTTAAGTCATATACATATAGGGTTTGCTTTGTACATATAATGAGCATAGAAGAAGAGTAAAAGGCATAAATCACAATGTTGAACCAAAATGAGAATTTGAATGGTGTGTTTTTTATCTACATTTGAGAACTTTTTCATTCTGTGATTATATTAAGGTTGAAAGAGAAGACTTACTCCTTGTGGCCCTTTCTTTTGGATGATCAAGAAAAGTACTTAAATCCTTTCTACAGTCCCAATTCTCAGAAATTTCCAGTACTGGAACCTAATACAGTGCCTTTCAACTTTAAGTAAGTACACATGCCTAAGCATCTACATATTCTTTTTCTATGAAGACGATTCATTAAAATAGTTGTGTTTTCTTTCCTTTGAGGTTTTGGAGAAATATGTACCATCAGTTTGATCGAACAATGCATCCTAGGCAGTCTGTACTTAAGCTGATTATGAACATGAATGATCAAAATAAACAACTGGAAAAAGAAATTAAAGAACTAGAATCTGTGAGTATTCAGAAATACACACTGTTAGAACTATTAAGTTCAGTTCTTTATTCTTGTAATCAATCATTGCAGAAAGTCTTTTGAGTCAGTAACATTACCACAAACCAACCTCCATTTCTTTTCTTTAAAGAAAGTAGTTTGTATCATTTATATAATTATTTCATCTTTTGTGCCTTCTGTAATCCAAAAGGAGAAAGTAGATTGTTAAAATCAGAAAAAAAATAAATAGGACTTTTGGAGAAAATTTGGTTGACCTACCACTCACCAAGGAGTACTTTTCCCAGACAGTATCCCTAGGAGACCATCTCACATAGATTAGTCTGTATACCAATCTTAAAATTTTTTTCCCAGAGGGTGATGCCACAGTGGGAGTTAATGACTCTCAGGGTGAGGGTGTCAAAAGATAGCAAAAGGGAAAATGTCAGTATTACAGAGGGTGAGTCTAGGGAGGAATTCAAGCCATTGAAAAGCACTATTTATCTTCTGAGGAATATTTTTTACTCTTCCTTCTTTCCACTCTAAGGAAAGTTCAAAGAATTATAAAATTTTAATTGGAAGGGATCCCACTGGCCAACTATTCCAGTCTCTCTGAATATATATATATACACACACATATATATGTGTGTGTGTGTATATATATATGTGTATACATACACACATACTATATATGTGTGTGTGTATGTGTGTGTGTGTATATATGTATGTATGTATGTATGTATGTATGTATATCTTAAAAAAATCATCCACTCATATTGGCTCTATTTAAAGACCTCTAATGAAGAGGAACCCACTATCTCCAAAGGCAGTTCATCCCGTCTTTGACTGGTTCCAAGTATTTCAGGAACTTTTTCATGACAACAGGCCAAAATTTGCCTCCTAGCAGCGTCCATCCATTTTTCCTTGTTTTGCTTTGTGGTGCCAAATAAAAAAATCCAATCCCTCATTCACATGACAGCAGATACTTGGAAGTAACTAATATGTCCCCTATCAGTTTTCTTTAGGCTAAACATCCCCAGTTCCTTCAGCTTTTTCTATATGACACAGATTCTAGGCTCTCTACCATTCTGATTTCTCTCCTCTGAACATTCTCCAATTTATCAATTTCCTTCTTAAGCTGTGTCACCTAGCACTGACTATAGTCCCAGTTTGGTATATCATGGCAGAGTTCAGAGGGACTATCACTTCCTTATTTCTGGAAACTAGACTTTTCTTAATGCAGCCCTGAAGCATATTAACTTTTTTTTTTTTGTTGCTGCCACATATCACTGTTGAATCATTGGACTTGGTGTCCATTAAAATCCTAGGATCTCTTTCAGACAGACTATTGTCTAATCTTGCCCATCCTGGGACTTGTGAAGGTGATTTTTTTTTTTAACCCAAGAATAAGAAGTTATATCTCTTCCTATTGAATTTAATCTTATTGGATTCAACCCAGTGCTCTAGTCTGTCATGATCTGTTTGGATCCTGACTCTCTCATAGAATGTGTTAACTCTCCCTCACAGCTTTATATTGTCTGAAAATTTGATGAGTGTGTCATCTCTTTAAGTTGTAGATAAAAATGTTGTACAACACATGTTGAGTTCTGATCCCTTGTCGACTCAACTAGAGATTTCCTGCCAAAGTGACACTGAACCATTAATGGCTATTCTTTAAAATCAGACAGTAAACCAAGTCTAAATTTATCTAATTATATTATCATCTAGCCCGTCCCTCTCCATGTTTGCTACAAGAATAGTATATGCTTTGTAAAATGATTTGCTGTCAGAATTTTGTCAGGAATCAGTCGAATTTGTTGGCCTCCAGTTTGGTTTTTGGTTTTTGTTTTTTTTTTGGAGGGGGGCAGGGCAGGCCAAGGCAATTTTGGTTAAGTCACTTGCCCAGAGTCACACAGGTAGTAAGTGTCAAGTGACTGGTTGGACACTGTATTTGAACTCAGGTCCTCCTGACTCCAGGGCTGGTGCTCTATCCACTGCACCACCTAGCTGCCCCTGGCCTCAAGCTTGAAGACTTTTAAATCCATCATATGAACATAGCAAACACTAGTAGGGAAGATCATAAATTGTATCTTTATATACATTAAGGATAATTTAGATAGGCATATTTATGAAGATTCTCACGTCTGTTTTGTAACATGTCCAACTTCCTTCAAAGTACGCTTGGGTGTTAGCTCCTACCTTAGGCTTTTTTCTAATCCTTATTCTCTTGCTCTTAAACTATATTGTATGGACTTACTCAGTGTATATGTTGTGTCACCCTAGTAGAACATAAGCTCTTTGAGGGGCAGGACTGTTTTGTTTTTGTCTTTGTATTCCTAGTGTCTGGCACTTAGTACGTGTTTATCGAGTTAAATCACATAAGAGTTGTGGATTTGGGATGAATATTCTATATTTTGCACCATCAGATATTTGTTGGAACAAGTGTTAGAAATTACCTTTTATGTTGTAGTTCATAACTAAGTTGACTGAAATTAGACCACAACCAACTTTTGTATTTTCTTTTATTGTTTTTTACATAAGAAATATCAATCAATGAACAGGTGTTTATTAATTAAGCACTTACTATTTGTCAGACACTGCTGGCTGCTGAGGATACAACTATGAGAATGAAACAGTCTTCTACTGTTAAGAAGCTTGTTTTCTAACAAGGAAACAAGAATATATATAATAAATATACATATGTATTTATATACATATAAAGAGACTAAGTAGTTAAGGGCAGTAGCAGTTGGAAAAATCAGGAAAAATTTCATAGAGAATATTTTATTATGTAATAAATATCTTAATTTCTGTGTTGTAAATTTTTTCCCCAAAAAAATCAGGTATGAGAAATATAAGAATCTACAACGCATAGGAAGAGAGGCATACTTTTCAGGGTAATTGATGTGTATCTGCATCATATGTGAGGGTAAAATTGATTTCCTTCGTGTCCTGTCCAGCTAAATTGATTTAAAAAAAAAACTTTAAAACTGTAACTTAATGAAAATGTGTTTAAACAACTGATATTTATAACCACTTCTTATTTATTTAAATGTATTTTTATTAAGGTTAATAAAGGTTTTAAATTTAATAATAAATACATAAACTTAAAAGGCTCTTGGTAACAGTAATTTTTCAAATTTGGATTTATTTTAGAAAATCAAACACCAGAAAAACAGGCAAAGTGATACGGTTCTCACCAAGGAATCTTTGCGCTCTATCCATCCTGACTGTCCAGCCCTCAAACCTTCCCTGTGTTTTAAGAAGGAGCAGACCCTGTTACCTGTGAATGATGCTATTCGAACTATAGAGGGCAGCAACACAGCAGACAATCGCTATAGTGAATATGCAGAAGAGTTTTCCAAAACTGAACCTGCAGTTGTCAATTTGGAATATGGAGTAGCAAGGATGACCTGTTAATTATCACAGTGAAATGTATTTCTTTTTGGACAGACTGAAATACAAGAGATGGATTATTGTAAGGAAGGTCTGTGCTGCATGACCAAAAGCTAATTTATCTAATGTTAGGTTTTAGAGTAGAACAGCATGCAAATAGCTCTCTTGAGGGGAGTCAGTCTGATTTCATTTTTAGGAAAGGATGACATTTGTGATAAAAAGAAATGAGTAGTATTTGGGAGATATTAATAAAAATGCAATTTGCACTGTAGCCTTGAAAATTGATGTTAGTTTATGATGTACATGTTCATTATAGCTAGATGATCCTATATTCCTATGAACATGAAGAACCTTAATTTTAACTGGGGAAAAAAATCAAAAAAATGATCTTTTATTTACTCTACAACTGAAGTAACACATGTACTTGTCCATAAAAATAGATTCCTACAGAATTTGTCAAATATTAATGTTTAATGCTGAAGTGCCATGTTAAATATTCTGAACAGGGCCTTAATACAAGTTTTTAACTTTGGCTTCTCCTTTAATTTTTATAGCTAAAACATATACTATTTTGGGGGAGTGGGGGGCAATGGGAGCATTGTTTTGTTCTTAAGAAGTTTCATGTGAATATAGAATATTCTAAGAGTCTCATGGTCTAAGCAGTTTAAGAATTACAAATGTGTTAAATCTAAAATTAGTAAAATTTAAAGATTCTTCCATTTCTCTTATTTTATGTATTACCACTTTAGAACATTTACATGTTATAATATAGATTACTGGTTTCACGTGCATGTGCCAGGATATTTAAGCCTGTGGCTTGTATATATCAATTATTGCATTTCATGAATTATCAGCTTGCTGTGGTGAATTTTCTTCCTTTGGTAACAATGTGTTAGGTATAAACAGCAAAACAATAAAAACAATGCCCTATAATACTTTTTCTTCTTTAAAGAAATAATGAAAAGCACATTATAGAATTTCATTGAAGAAAGGCCTTATCCCTCAATGTTCTGCTGTTCTTACTTTGTCTAAGCTTCAAGTTAAAACAAAAACTTTTAACAACAAAACAAGAGGTACAGGCAGCTTAGGTTTTTGCTTAAAAACATGATTTTCAAAAAGTAATTCACTTGTGTATAGAATATTTTTCCTTCTCTTTTTAATGAGGAGAGGGAGAACAGTAGGAAAAGACTTTAATAACAACAGATTTTGAAAGGTTTGTTTGGTAAGTTTTGTAAGAGCTCATTTATAGCTAAAACAAAATTCTCCTTTATTCTCCCCTATTCCTAGCCTTTACATGCTTCATATCATCACTGTATGTTTCCCAAGTAGAAGGGAAAAGCAGTTTTCAAAACTTTACTACTAACAAATGGTGGAGGTATAAGCACAAAAATTAGGATCTGGTTATGGTTCTTATAGTATGTACCTTGTCATGATGTGGAAAAAATAGTTTGAGTTATCTGTCCACTATTACAGATTTATTTCACCCCTCCAAGAAAGCAAGATCACATATAATTGCCAATCTTAACTCATTAAGATGCTCAACTTCAGAGTAACATGAGTGGCACAATTTAAGATTGAGGGGTGTTAGAAAAGCTGTATAGGAAACCTCATGCATTCTCCTACTCCTGAATCTGTCTGAGTTTTGACCTTTCAGAAACATCTAAGTTTTTCAGAAGGAAAAAAAGCCTTATTTTATAGGAGAGTTTATTATGTAATCCCTAAATGTCTTTCCAGAGCACATTACATAATAAGAAGAGTACTGCTTTATAAACACTAGCAAAAAATACTGCACGTTCAGTTTGTCTGTTAGCAGTCAGTCTCCTCTCCCTTCCAACTCTATGCATTAGGACAGGGAGCATAGTCATTTTTGTATCCATTAACAAAGGGAAACTTTGGTGCCTTGTTACTTGCTGGTTTGGGTATTGAAATCTTCAATGGCAAATTTCTTGTATTCATTTTACTGGCTTATTATTTTAATCTTTAAACAGTATATACACAAAAAATCACTTAGCATTCACAGTGTCCTACAAAGTACATGTTGGTAAAAATGAGGTTGTGTATATGTCTTGTAAAGTTATCTTTACATTCCATATGTATGGAAATCATAACATGTATATTATTTCATATATATTATGTAGAGTTAATTAAATGTATAGGTTCTATTTTGAAATCTTTTCTTTTTTAATAAAAGTGCCAGTCAGCGCCATTCCCTTTTCCCCATGTTATGTTAACGTAAGAAACAAAAGAGCCAATTAAAGAATCAGGAAGAGCTGGTTCTCTGTTCAAATTCTCTTCACCTTTATTGATTATAATGGTGTACATGGATTTTAGCACTATTAATTTTTTCATTTATTAGTATGTACTTGTTAACAAAAAAATCATTTAAAAATATCCTAAGTAGGCATGCAGATTATTCTTTATTGGAGAGAAAAATTGGGTAAAGAAGGAAAGTAATTTGCAGCTGATAAAATTCGTAAAGACTATCGGATTGTTTTCATGATAACCATGTCACTTTTTGATGCTGCAAACAGAATTTCATTATATTCTTTATCCTTTTCAGTTTGGGAAGATAAAGTTTGCATGAAACCAGGAATGCAGTTATTCTCATCCAGTGTAAGATCTGATAGTATGTATGCAAAGGAAAACAACTGTAGAGAAAAATATCTGTCATCTTTGTCTATGGAGATTTGAAGAGGGGTATCTTGGTAGGGGATGCAAAATAGGGGAAAGATATCAGTAGCTTAGAAAGTGACACGGGGACAGGGAGAGTTCATTCTTAGTTGACAGGTTCTGAAATAGACCATGAAATTGATTTGTAACCTAATCTTTCAGATAACTAAAAGACTTCCTCTTAGCCTACCAGTTAAATAAGATACATGTAGCATAAAGTAGGGCAGGTTCTTATCAATGGTAATGTCATCCAGACTCAGGTTTTCTGTTACTCATTCTGTTGTTAGCCATTTAATTGATCCTGCAGTTTTGTAAGATAGCTGGCTTTAATATGCCATGATTAGTGAAATAAAATAGAACAGGGAATCTGGGCATATAAAAAATTACATTGCTAGTGATCTACCTCGAGGAAGATGGCGACCTGTAATTCAAAATGCCAACTGCATACTTGTGAAAGGGCACTCACTGTTTTCAGATTTGCCTTTTCTTTGGAAAAGAAAACCAGAAATCCCCAACCAGGCCTCTACACTTGTACAGAATCATTGTGATCACGTTCAGAAATATATCAAAGAAAGTAAATAGTTATCCTTTGGTCAACTACTTTATGTATTCTGGTATGCCTATGATGTTGGTGACATTAGTGCTCCCCTGCTGGTACTGATTACCTCTCTTCTTGCCCTCCATCCTATGTGATTCTTACCCATTTTTTCCATAAACATTTGTGGATACCATTGTAACCCATCTGACATCTTTCACTCTAGCTGCATGACAAGCCTACTTCATTTCCAGTTACAGGTATGCTTACAAAATTTGTGATGACACTCTGAAGACTATAATATGTAGCTGTAAGCATCTTTTTTTTTTTTAATTTTTAGGCAATTAAGAGTTAAGTAACTTGCCCAGGGTCAAACAGCTAGTGTTAAGTGCTATGTGTCTGAGGTCAGATTTGAACTCAGGTCCTCCTGACTTCAGGTCTGGTGCTCTATCCACTGCACCACCTAGCTGCCCCATTGGAAACAACTTTTAAGAAATTATTTAATTCTACCTTTATACGTTTGTACCTAAACCAGCAAGATCAGATGTATTATGAAGAGACAGGATTTACTTGTTAGTAGAAAGAATGAAAGGAACTTGAGTCTTGGATAATACCACTAAATCACTAAGACAAGCAAGTTAACCTCTTGTACCTCAGTTTCCCCAACAGGAGATAATTTTGCAAGTGGGGTATGAGAATAAAATAATAGCTGTGGAAGTATTCTGTAATAAAAATGGTAATATAAAGTATAGCCATATTTGAAGTAATATAGGTTGCTAACGTCTTAGCTGTGGAGATGATATCACTAAATTTCCCAGTTCAAACAGTTGGCCAGTTCCTTTCCTGAACAAGGGGTTCATACTGTTACAATTTTTATATCCCTTTTGCATCATATCTTAGTTTAAAAATTGCCCCGTATATGTGGGCAGCTCAAAGCTTGGAACCTGGGGATTTTATAGTAATTGGTTTATTGTGGAGAATCATAATCTGTGATGTTTAGGGCAGTTCTTTAGGAGGATAGACTTAAAATAGAGGCTAAAGGAGGACGGAAAATAGATATTTGGTATATATCTGCTATTAAGAATCTTATGATGGGGAAGGGGAAAAAAAGAAACCAGGAGTCTGAGAAGGGAAAAAGGTGCAGTAAGAGGGGAGAGCAACATAAAATTAAGGCATGTTTGGTACCAGAACACTGAATTTTCTTGTTTTCTTGTTTTCTTTGTTTTTCTTGTTTTCCCTTCTCCCTACCTTCCTAATTGTCTCTTAAACCCTCAAGCTCAGTGGGAGGTGACTGAAAGGAAATTGCTGAAGTTTAGGGAGATTATTATCTACCAAGTAGTGCTTCTCTGTTCAGCGGCATATTTCTAAACCTGCCCGAGGTGACTGAATGATTGTTACAATGATTGATAAATCGGGGCTATGCATTATATATGGAACTGGTTTGTAATTTATATTCAAATAGACATTTAAAAATAAGTAGGAATAGTTATCTTGAATGATTCTGTTTCATTCAGTGCTGTTATATGTTATGGACAAAGTTAACAGCTTTTGTATCAATATGCTTTTACATAGTATTCCCCCCCTCCATTGTCCATACCTTTATGTTCCCTTATAAGATTTCTTCAGGATGACAAGGAGGCATCTATTAGGAGAATTTGTGGAAAAAAATCGGGTTTATCTTAGCGCTTCCAAATTTTTAATCTCACTTTGACACTGTTTCTCAGACCCCTAGATTGTAAACCAAAGTGTAAGTACTTTCTCACCAAGTCTCTGTTTATGTAAGTATATCCTGTCTACAACTTCTGTGTCTATAAATTAAATTCCCAAGTAGTTAGAGATTTCTGGATCAGTCTATCAAAGCCAGGGCTTTGGCTTTCATACAAGATTACTCAAAAGAGGATCATACTACGTTTGATCAGTCTTGTTCTCTGCCGTCCTATAATCTACCTGAGCTCCTTGCTTTCAGATTAGCATGTGGGCCCCCATGTAGGTTTTCTGGTCTTCAAATATATCTTGTTTCAGACACATCTCTGGACCAGACTACACTAAGCCGTTTTCAATTTGTTCACATTCATTTGATTCCCCTATTTCTCCATCTGTTCAAATACAATCATCTTTATGGGGCATGTTCATTAGAATCTCATTTGTAGTCACATTGTTTCATCTTGAAATTGGATTACCATATCTTTCATTGAATCTACAATTTCACTGGGATGGGTACTCCATCCAGATGATTACAGCTCCTCTGCCTTCTCATGGACAGCCTGCATCTACTTTCATTATATATTATATGTGGGTGTGTGTACGTACACATACGAAGATAGACTGAAACTACTTTGGCCAGCTAGCTACCTTTCTAACAATGTATTTGTTTGAATATATGTTTTTCATCCATTTAATTTTTTTTAACGTGGCTAGTTAGCCCTTTTTGCGTTGTTGTCTTTCACTGAGGAAGCATTATAGTGTGCTAGGACTTTATGCCATGATTAAAATGTTGACAAGTAATATTTGGAGAACTTTATGATCATTGGGAGCAGAGATACCTCACTTCACATGATTACTTAGTAGATCTTTGAATTCAACTTGCTTTCTATGTTCAAAGCACTATGCTAGGTGCTGGCGATACAGATAGTTGTGGGGGGGAAATCCCTGTCCCTAAGGAGCTTTCATTTTACTTGGCAGTGGGACATAATTTAAAAAAATAAATACAATATAATTTGAAGAAGGAGAGAGTACTAATAATTACAGGTAACAGGAAAGGCTGTCCATAGAGGGTGACAGGCACACAAGCTCGGTCTTGAAACTAGGAATTCCAAAGTATGCATTCCAAAAATAAGGGAAAGTTAAGAAGGGTAAGGAGATAGGTTGGAATGTCAGTTTGAGGTATCAGCAAGTAGACTGATTTGACTGAAACACAGCATGTGAAGGGAAGTGATGTGAAGTAAGTTTGGAAAGGTAGGCTGAATCTAACCTGTGAAAGGCTTTAAGTGCCGAACAAAGGAACATCTGTTTTATCCTAGAGGGCAATAGTGAGCCATTGAAGCTTCTTGTGCAGAAGAATGATAGGAACAGATCTGTGCTTTAACAATTGCTTTGGCAACTATGTGAGGATATATTGGCAAAGGGGAAGACTGGAAGCAAGGAGTCCATTTTGGGATATTAATGCAATAATCCAGGCAAAAAATAATGAAATTGAAAATAATTGAAATTGATCAGACTTGGTAACTGATTGAATAGAAGGAAGATGAGTGAGAAGGAAGAGCTAAGGATGAATCTGAGGATAGTTGTGAGCTCCACCAAGCATCCTGGAGACCCCTGTCCCCAAACTTGCCACTTCAAAGTGGGCCCCATGATGTTATTGCCACCCTGTTGATTTATTTTGAATGAGTATACATATTTGTGATGGATTTTGTTTCCCTTGCTTTCTCAATGGGTGGAGGAGAGGCAAGGAGGAGGGAGAGGATTCAGAATTAAATATAAAATTTGAATTAAGAAATGAGAAAAAAATGGCTCTGATGATATGTCAAGCTAGTTTTATGGGAAATAGTTTCCCTGACTGTCATCCCCTCCGTTGTTGGATGCCCCAGATATCAGGGTGTGATGGTGGGTATGGGCCAGAAATATAGCTAAGTAGAGGATGTAACCCAGAATTAGATGTTCTGTACCATAAAGTACCCCCATTGAACATGACATTGTCAACAACTGGAACAACATGAAGATTTGGTATTGATAAACTCCATGTGGTCCCTGTAGAGCACACTGTACAGTTCCCCAAACACAAAGCCAACAGAGAAAAGATGACATCATGTTTGAGACCTTCAACAGATATTGCCATCCAGAATGTGCTGTCCTTATATTAAGCCTCTGGTTGTACAACTGGTATTGTGATGGACTCCGACAATGGTGTGACCTACACTGTGCCCATCTATGAAAGCTATGTCCTTCCCCATTCTCTCTTCTGTGTGCATCTTGCTGGTTCTAATATGGACTGCATGAAGATCCTGACCAATAAACTACAGCTTCACTACCACAACTTAGAGGGAAATAGTTCATGACAGCAAGGA